CAGGGTGACAGCGAGCTGGGGCAAGGGGTGTTTAGCACCAACACTCATTTATTTTTCCAGCTCAGTCGCAGTGTCACCGCTCTTGCACACCAGCGAGGAGGCCGAAAACACGGCAGCAGCGTGAGCGTTGATGCGAAGAGGGTTTGTGAGTGGCACTGGGGTCCCCAAGGGCTGCCCAGCGCCCAACGCCAGCGGGACCGTGGTGGCTTCAACCCGACCTTGCCAGCCAGGGCCAGCCCCAGTGGAAACCAGGCGTGTTGAGCCGGGGACGGCCAGGGACGTTCAGCCTTTCCGGGGCGGGGAAGCCCGGCACACTCCTCGGGGTACCTGAGATGTGCTTAGCAGTTTCTTACTGACCTGCGCCCCATCTGCTTCTGTTTTCAAAAGGTCAGTGGAGGAAAGCTGGTTGCAGTAAAGGCCCGCGGGTCTCAGCGCTGGGTCATTTACCTGTTAAAAGCAAGATCCAGGCTCAGCCAGGGCTCCTGGATGCTGGAGGGGCACTTACCGCCCTTCCGAGCAGAATTTGGGGGGTTTGGGGAGGGGATGCTCATGGATGAAGCAGCGCCAGGGGACTGTGCTGCCAGCACCCTCCTGTGCCGTGAGCTCCAGGATTTTGGGGCATCACTGAGGGGATCCCAGTGGGCAGCGGGACCTGTTTCACCTTTCTCCCCACCTCCTGCACCTTTGCCTGGGGCTGCTGCCAGCTCCAGGGGTCCCTCACCCCCAGGAAGCATGAAACGCCAATCGACTGCTCAGCGAGAGGGGTGAAAGCTGCTGGCGCAGCCCGTGCACCACCAGTGGAGGTAGCCAGACCTTTGCCGCTTCCCCCTTTGGACACCAGTACCCCCAGGGCCAGAGAAGTGAATGCTGAACCCCCGGGAGCTGGCTGACCGTGTGGAACTGACCTGCTCCGAGCACATGGAGTTCATCCCGGGCATCTGCAGCGAGTTCATCTGCATCTGTCCGGCCATGGGGTTCATGTTCTGGACGTTGGTGTTTCCTCCCGCCATGGAGACGGTGATGCTCATGTTGTTGTACATGCCCTGCTGAGCAGGCGCCGGCTGGTTCTGCCCCGCTTGGCTGAATACGCTGGGAGAAAGAGAAGACCATCACCTACACGTATGTGGCAGTGGGAGGCACCTCGAGGCCGAGTTCCCAAACCGCAATGGCAGCCTGTGACAGAGAGCCGGTGGAGAGTATGGGAGACCCGCAGGCCCCTGGGGACAGCGGGAGGGACAGGGAGGTGTTGAAGGTGCTGCCTGCAGCAAGGCTTAACCAACATGGAGGCTGGGAGGAAAGGAGGTGGCTGCTGCGAGACATCTGCTCCTTGGAGTCTCATTGGTGTGATGGGGTAAAGCAGGAGAAACGCCAGTGCCAGGAGAGGGATCGTTACAGGGCTTCAGGCTGGATTAAGGGTCAGTCAGATGCAATGCCCTGGTCTACATGACACTGAGTTCACTCCTTCATGTTCCTTCCAGTGTCCTCCTCAACACCCAGCCATCCCCACTTTCCTCCACGCAGGAGGACAGCTCTCCATTGCAAGGCAAGGTGAAGAAGCATCCCACCTCCAACAGAGCTCCCCTCTCATCCCACCCAGCCCAGTAACCTCCTGCTCCTGCTGAGCTACCTGTGCAGAGCCAAGACACAAAGCCAGGTGTCCCCCAGGTGAGCTTTTGGGTTTTTTTCCCCCCTATTTCTGGAGATCCGAAGCTCAAACCTGACTCATGCAAAAAAGGCAAAAAATCTGGTGACTCTTCCCATTGGCTTCCTTACGTCAGGGTTGGACACATCTTGAGAGGGTCACGCAGTGACTCGGGGCTGCTGGTCTTGACTCAGTTTATTGTCATGTTTCCTAATCCCGCTTTCACCAGGTGTAATTAAGCCACTCGTTTAATTATGAGCCAAAGACCTGCTTCGTGTCTTACTCAACACACATGCTCATTCATTGAAACACTGTGAACTTCTGGCTGCCTCCGAGCTGAGGCGAAGACCAGGACACGGTTTGATGTTGACTTCTGGAGGACGTCGTGGTAGGAGAACACGGCCTGAGCTCAGCACGTGTCCTCAGCCACGTGTCACCTATGGGCACCGCCACCCCTGCCGACACCCTACCAGAGGGCCTCCACCTCGCTGCCGTCTATCTGTGTCACCTGTGTGTGTGTCTGAGGTTATCCCCACCATGATCTTACTTGCTGTTCCCCATGGCTCCTTGCTGCCAGGTCTTCATGTCAGGTGACTGGTAGCCCGGTGTTGGCGGAGCCGGCTGTAGCATGGGGCTTTGTGAAGGTGGGAGCTGGGGTGACATCAAGGGGCTGCTGGGACTGAGTGACGGAGCAAAGGTGGGTTCGCTTTGCTGACCCATGCCTGGGGAAGGACAGATGGTGTCAGTGGTGCTGAGGTGTCCGCCAGCAGCCCCGATCCCCTCCTCCTCCCTTGCAACCACTGGAATCAAACCAGAACTATCATCCTTGACTTTTGGTCTCCGGTTTTTGTTTCGAGCAGCAGTATTGCTCAAATGTAAATATTTCAGGGATGGAGTAACAGGGAAACCCCTCCTTCCAGTGGTTTCCATCAGGAGGTGTTCCTCTTTAGCATCACACCTGGCTGGAAAATAGCCAGGGTACTGTGAAGCTGATGCCAAAAGGAGGTTCTTGTGGGGCTACTGCAGCCATACCACGGTTTTCTCTACTCATCAGTGATGTCCACCTTGCTGAGACCCTGCACCAATGCTCCACCATGAAGACCTTCAAGACAGTGCCTGTCTGCATGCAACTCTGTGCTGGCTCACCCATCACATATGAGCTTGGTGCCCACACAAGAAGCGTAAGCTGCCTGCAGCTCATTCCAGACATCTCAGCGAGGGTTTGGCTTTTTTTCAGAAGAGATATATTTAAGGAAGTGCAATTTAGAGAACTGCCTTGCAGTTTGATTTTCAAGGGAAAAGTTAGGGAATTATTTACCCAAACCGTATCTTTCTTTTTTTTTTTTTTTTTAGATTCAACCAGAAACTTCCCTGGGAAGATGGACACCAGAGACCAGACCAGTCCACAGGTTGGGTGAGATGGCCAGGGATGAAGCCCAGGGCAATGAGTGAGCAGGGCTAGGCTGCAGCATCCTCAGGGGCCTCAGCTCTGCCCTCTGCCTCTCCCTCCCCATCGCCATATGCCTTTCCAATGCAACCGACTGCTCGACGTACCTGATCCCGAATACTGAAAGATGTTCTGCTGCATCTGCGGGGTCATCCCAGTGCCAAACTGCCCTCCGACGCCACCCATCATCCCCCTGTTCACCATGCTGCTGCGGTTAGCCAGCGTGGCCTCGGGGTTGGACGCCAACGGCGAGAAGGGGCTGGTGGAGGTGGGAGGGTTTCCTGGGGTCGTACCGTAGTTTGGGGGATAAGGGAACTGCTGGGGGGGTGCTTGGGGCAAGCGAGCGGCTCCGATCTGGACTGGGAGCCCGGTGGAGGGAGGGAGGTTGTTTCCGAAGCTTTGCTGTCTCATCAGGATGGCTCGTTGACCGCTGCCGGTGCTGTTGGCTGTAGAGCTCGCGCTGGCGCTGGGCCAGCATCTGGGCATTGAGAGGAGGCTGCGGGGAAGAAGGGGGATACCTGAATTATCACTGTTATCCTCCGGCTCTGGCAAACAGCTCAGAGACCCCTCGTCACTGGCACAAGAGCTGTGAGTGCTCCCCTTCCCCTGCTCAGGGTGCCCGTCCTCGGTTTGCAAGGAAAGCTGGCAAAACCCTGAAACGCTGTAAATTGACCCATTTGTGCCACTGCAGGGCAGAGCAGGTTGGTGATATTAAAAGCTCGGCCTCTGGATGTGCTGAAAGGCAAAGCTCCAGGAGCTGGAGCAATCCCCAAGCCGGGAAAATAGGCTCTCAGTCACCTGGCTGCCACCAACCACCCCTCTCCTCCATGGGACCCACTTTTTGTGCCCTCACTGGAGCCCAGGATCCCTGACTTGGACTCTTTCGGTTGTGAGATGTTAAAAAAAAACCCATCCCATGAGCTTTTCCATCACTGTGGGCTCGTTCCTCATTTGGCCGAGCCAGATGTGTTGGAATTAATCGCCTTAAAAAGCCTGACCAAGCCATCGGTGGCTGAAATTGGAGCTACGATGGGAACCGTTCATAGAATCATAGAACAGTTTGGGTTGCAAGGGACCTCAAAGGTCATCCAGTTCCAACCCCCCTGCCACAGGCAGGGACACCTTCCACTACACCAGGTTGCTCAAAGCCTCATCCAACGTGGCCTTGAACACTTCCAGGGATGGGGCAACCACAGCTTCTCTGGGTGACCTGTGCCAGTGCCTCACCACCCTCATTGTAAAAAATTTCTTCCTTAGATCTCATCGAAATCTCCCCTCTTTCAGTTTAAAGCCATTGCCCTGTGTCCTGTCACTATATACCCTTGTTCAGTCCTTTCCCTGTCACTAACACTCCCCACAACACATTAGGGGTGTCACACCACTTCCCGAAAAGGCAAAGGCTTCTCCAAGATGTGGAATAAAGTCACCAAAACTTGGCTATGCTTTCCAACCTCTCCTTGTACCCAGCAGATGTTTTATCCGCTTTATTAGAAGCCAAACAAGAACTCTAGGGCCTGGGGATTTGCAGGATTGTTAAGAAGATTCACTAGAGGTTCTGATATTTCAAGGATGGCATCTATTTCCTAAAGATCCTTCTCAACTCAATGTGTCAGCATGTCCTTCCCTAAGCAATAACGAAGTATTTATACCTTAAGCAGGTGGAAGATCTGGAATGAGGATGAAGTGATAAAAAAACCCCACAGCAGCTCATCTTGCAGCCACCTCTGCACGCAGGAGAATTTCTCTCTCCCGTTAATGATGGAGAGAAGTAAGCCAGGCCGTGCTAAAGAGGAGGGCATGGGGATTAATCCCTCAGTTTTTCCCACCTGGAAGGCCGTGCCGCATCCCCCTTACCTGCGGTGTGATCTGCTGCTGCATCCCTGCCCGCATGTTGATGCCCACCGGGGAGCTGGCTGCAAACTGGTTGAGGATCGCTTGCCGGTTTTGATGGATCAGCTGGAGGAAAGGCAAAAAAAACAAACCCAGGGAGACCTTCAAAACTCTGATGCAAAAGCTTCTCGCTCATCCGATCCCTTCCGACTGGGCTGCATGGGCTGCAGGTGGGACCGAGAGTCCCTCCATCCCCTTGCCCCGGAATGAGGAGAGGGAAGAGTTACCTACCTCCGCCCGCTGCTGCAGCTGAAGTCGCAGCTGGTTGGGGGCCGTTGGGGGCCTGTTGAGCGTCTGCCTGGGTTGCATGGCCATGTTGGTGGGGAAGGCGCCACGGGGCGGCGGGACCTGCACCGGCATGGCTCCGAAGGATGGCTTCTGCCGGACCATGCCAGGGAAGGCGCCAGGGAGGTTGGCAGTGGGAGAGGCCGAGGAGTAAGGCTGGGGGTACATGCCAGCTTTCTGCTCCATCATGAGCGGTGGGGTGGCTTGTTGGGGCTGGAACCGCTCCGTCAGGGCTTCCAGCCCGCCGCCCTGCCGAAGGCAAAGAGGGAGGAAAATATCACTTTGGAGCCCTACTGGCACCCGACCTCTCCCGGGAGAGCTCAGAGGGGCTGGAGGACGTGTGTAACCCTCATCCCCTGGGGCAGGGTCCAGCCT